CGGTCGGCGGCCACGCCTGGACTCCCGGTCCCGGCTGGGTGTGTACTTCGCCCCGGGGTCATCAGTGCGTTCCACGCAGAGCAGCTGGAGTGCGCGTGGATGCCACCGGGAGAGCTCGTCTGTCACCTGTGTTTCCGTGTCAAGCTGCTCAGAGTGCAGATAGAGTACATTCGAGACAGTACTTTCTAGAATCATGTTTCCTGTCTGCCTCTCGCTGGGAGCGAAAGAATGCATTTTTCACCAACACAGCTCTTTGGGATTCCCAAAATAGCATCCGTCACAAAATGACTCAGCGACCTGCTAATGCTGCTTGGGAAGAGTGGTTACCGGATGGTGGCCAGGGGCCAGCTTCTCCTCTTTCCTACTAGGTTCGTTTTTGTTTTATCTGAGCTGAGCTTCACCCAGTTGGACTAGGTCCAAGAAGCTACTTGGGTTCGCTTTTCAGAGAGGAGGGCCCCAGTTTTCTGGGCGTGTCACACAGGTCTGTGCTACTGAGAAGCGAGGGACTGTGGTGGCAAGACACTCCCCAGTGTCCCACAGCCCTTCCATGGCCTCATGGCTTTCTTTCTTTTTTATTTTGTTAGAGATCTTTGCTATAGGGTGTGTGTGCTTGCCAGAAACACAGAGAGAGACAAAGAGCAAGAATTCCCCCCCACGGAGGTGGCCATGCCACAATCCCTTCTCCTCCATTCTCCGCGTGGGCTCTTGGGCATGCACGCACATGCACACACACACACACCTAGTGTTAGTTTTAAGTCACTGGTCTGGGACTCAAACCTCAGTCAACTGCGTGGGACTCTAGCGATGTAACCATTACGCCATCTGCTAGTCCCTCTCTATAGAAAGAACAGCAGATGAGCTTCCATGGCACTCACAAATGGACATTGCCCACCATTATCAGGGGCTCTAAGGTAGGAATATAAAGGTCCCCACTCATGCCCCTTGGTTTGCAAAAAAGTTCTGACAAGTCATAGATCCACACTGCAGGAATGGCCGTTGCTCATTCAGACACCACTTCCCGCTGCCCAAGAGGACAAGATATATAAATTACCAGAGAGGCGTGCTATTATAAAGTGACATGAAATTGGGACCAGCAGTTAGCATAATGGCTATGTGGCTGGACTCCCATGTAGTTGACCATGGTTCAAGTCCCGGACCCGGTGGCTTAAACTCACGCCAGGCGTGTGTGCCTGCGTGCCCAAGATCCCGAGAGGAGAATGGAGGAGAAGGGATTGTGGCGTGACTGTCCCCCCTGGGGGGTGATTTCTCGCTTTCTGTCTCTCTGTCTCTCTCTTTTTCTGGAGAGCACACACGCCCTATAGCAAAAATCTCTCCAAAAAAAAAAAGTGGCATGAAATCTGCCTTGACTACAGTTCTTTTATTTCTATGTTGCACACAACTGGCTACTTGAAACTCATTTATTAGTGAGAAACAAGACTTTCTGGTGATGGAAAATGAGGTTCTGTTTCCATTGAGCTAAAATAATGGCAGTTTCTTCCCTTTTTGGAAATTCCTTATTCCTTCCATTTCAATACTAACCCCGGTAATAGACCACCAACTTACTCTCACTTCTAATATTTTTTAAAGAATGATTGATCTTATTTTATTTATTGTTATTATTATTATTATTTAATTTGCGCAGAGAGAGAATGGGGGGGAATGAGAAAGTAAGCTGCCAGGTCTGAGACTCGAACCAGTCAGCCCTGTGGGAGTCCACACCCCAACCACCATGCCACCTGCTGGCCCCTCATTTCTAACTTTTACCTGAAGAGAGGACCTGCTCCCCATCGGCTTGTTTGCAGCTCAGATAAAGTACAAACAAACAAACAAACAAACAAACAAAAAACCTCTACGAAATTATAAAATGGGGACCAGCAGTTAGCGTAATGGCTGTCGCTGAATTCCCATGTAGCCAACCACGGTTCAAGTACTGGACCCGGTGGCTTAAAATCACACCGGGCGCATGTGTGTGCGTGCCCAAGATCCCGAGAGGGGAAAGGAAGAGAAAGGATTGTGGTGTGGCCATCCCCCCTGGAGGGTGATTTCTCGCTTTCTATCTCTCTGGCTCTCTCTGTCTCTCTGGGGAGCACATGCGCCCTATAGCAAAAACCTCTCAAAAAATTATAAAAATGTATAATCAATACAAACCAATATTTGCATTCAAATGAAATATGCCGGAGACTGGTAACATAACTTGAGCATTTGTCCCAGTTAGGTTGTCCTAAGATGGCCGTCCTTGTCTCAAATGCCATGACCCTCTCAAACAGGAAGCCATGTAAACATAGTCTAATTGAGCTATAAACGAACCTATAAACAAAAGCATATCAGCAAATACATTTATTTAAACTTTCAAAAAGTTATTACAACAACGGGACCAGCAGGTGGTGTGATGGTTATGTTGCTGGACTCCCACATGGTCTACTGTGGTTCGAGTCCCAAACCGGTTGACTTAAAACTCACAACGGGCGCGTGTGCGTGTGTGCCCAAAATCCTGAGAGGAGAATGGGGGGTGATTTCTCGCTCTCTGTCTCTCTATCACTCTCTGTCTCTCAAGCAAGTGCATGAACTCTATAGCCAAAAAAAACCAACCAACCAAACAAACAAACAAAAAACCTCTCTTAAAAAATAACAATGTTGGTGCTGATGATTTTTAAAACTATAATATAGGAGACTGGAAAGAGCTATCATAAAATAAATGATAAGGATAAATGGAGTTTCTAGTACTGACCCTGGTGACAATAGTCATATTTAATATATTTGAACATGACCTTAAAACCAGTGAACTGTGGTATAGGTAACACCATTGGATACCCTCAATATGCATCAATTCCACTGGAGTCCACTTGGGGTGCTATACTTCCAAGTTATACTTTTCAAATGATTGTCTACACAACTTCATAAAGTTGAGGCCTTTATAAGTAGTTTTGCAGCTTGTGATGTTCTCAGTGAGGAATTACAGAAAGATCATGAAAAAATGGGATGCCATTAAGAGGAATTATACATATATATAAAATTCTCTTTTTGCTAGATGGTGTGTGGACTCACTGGAGAAAGAGAAAGCACCTCATGGGCAAGGTCACGCCACACGCCTGCTCCCCCATTCTCCCTCCTGCTGGGATCTGGGGTATGCATGCACCCCATGGACATGGTCACTCCACACCCCTGCTCCCCCATTCTCCCTCCTGCTGGCATCTGGGGTATGCATGTTTTTCAAGCCCCTATTGGAACCACATAGTGGGCCATGTGGGATCCAGTTGCCTTAACTGCCCTGCCACAAGCTTGTTCAAGAATAATATATTTTAAGTTTATTTATTGAGAGAAAGAAAAAGGGAGACAGAGGGAAACAGAGGAGATCCTTGACAGGCTTTCTTCACACCCTGACCCTCCCTCCAGCAGTCCAGACAGTCAGGATCACAGTGTGCCCATGGGGGTGCCTGGCACGTTCCAGTCAACCAGGAGCCAAGCCCAGGACCTTCCCTTGTGCCGGGTACAGAGCAGCTGTGCCCCACCACTGCCATCCTGTGCTTGGTTCAGAAAGTACCTTTAAAAAAATACTTTTTTGCCTTGTATAATAGAAAAGCACAGGGCTTCTGAACTTAGAAAATTGTGGACACTTTTGTCCCATGAACCCTGAATATATTTTACCTGAGGGTGTAGAGAATGACCGAAAGGCAGATCAGGTTGGCGTATGTGAATATGTGAATGATGTGGGAGGGATAGCCAGTGCAGAAAGAAAAAGGCTGAGCAAAATATGCTTAAAAACCAGCAAACTGGGGCCAGCAGTTGGCGTAATGGCTATGTCGCTGGACTCCATGTAGTTGACCACAGTTTGAGTCCCGGACTTGGTGGCTTAAACTCACGCCGGGCACGTGTGCGTGCGTGC